GAAATGACAAGTGGAAAAATGCAGAAATAATTTCCGAAGGAACTACCATGATTACTGCTTCCAGACTTGTATAACTATATAATTTTAGCAGCAAAAACTCTTAACAGCCATGAAATAAATTCCACAGGACTCTTATATGTTCTTTTTTCAGTTCAATTTTACATCTTGCTGAAACAGAAGTTAAAATTACTGGTATGGAGCAGTTTTGGAAAAAAATGCATTAAAAAAATCGTGAAACTAAACAATTGTGATACTATCCAGGCACCTTCTGGCACCAGGTAGTAAAGATATTTATATAAATGAGTCATGCAGATTAAAGGGCTCTCCCACAGGTTATTTCATGCAACCTTCTGCTCAAACCAGCAATTTCAAGCGGTGGGGATTCCACAGCCTCTCTGGGCACCTGCTCCAGCATTTGGTTGTTTTCCTGGTAAAATCTTTTCCATATTAGCAGGTCCAAATTTTCAGTGCTGCAGATTCTGCCTGTTGCTTATGATCCTTCTACTTCTGAAAAGACTTTTGTTTCCATCATCTCTACAGCCTCCAGCTAGTTCTAGAAGGCATCAGGTTTCTCCCCAAGCCTTTTCTTTTCAGCTGAACAAACACCTTTCTCTCACTCTCTCCCCTTACATCATGTGTCTGTCAGACTCTCCTCTGAGTTTTGCTGCCTTTCTTGTACTGGGAGCCCAAAATTGGGCACAGTGCTCCAGCAGTGGTCTCACAGGTGATGCACACAGGGACCACCTGCTTCCCTCCTCCTGCTTCTGCACTCTTGCTCCTACAGCCCAGGGTGCAGTTGGGCTGGGCTGGGGGGTTTTCCACATCAAGGGCACATAGCTTGATCCAATTCTTATCTTCCCCAAATTCCATGTATGTGTAAGCTGTTGGGAGTGCTGTCTGTCTCATCATGTCATTCCTGAAGGCACTGAGGGTTGTCAGGGGGAAGCTTCTGCTCGCTGGATCTCACACTGCTCATCAGCCCCAGGCTTTGAGCCTGGCAGCCCAGCTCATTGCCACCTGCTTTGTTAGCCACTTACCTACCCAGTCTGTGGCTCACAAATTTGCCTCCAGGGATGTTTGGAGGCCTTGGGACATGGAACACCCCTTGCTCCCCACTTAGCCACACAGCCAGGTAGAAGAAAATCAGGTTAGTCAGGTATGATTTGTCTTTCTACACAAATAAAGATGTATTTTATCTTCTATAACTATTACATAAATTTTTAAATTAAAAATTATCATTAATACCGAGCTGATGAATGCTCCTGAAATTTTCCTTTGGATGTAGCATTTGCATTTCATTGTAATTAATTGGAACTAGGTTGCTAAAATCTAGGTAGGCAGAAAAGCCATCTGAGAGACTAAACTTTAAATACAAAAGATACAACGTTCATTCAGTAAGGCCTGGAGGATAAGGCTGGAGAATAAAACCAGTTTTTAGTCAAAACTGTCCAATGAATGATACAAAGATCCAGCATAGGCCATCATAGTTGATTACTCAAAGATATGGATAGTACAGTTAAGATTTTAAAAAGCCAGAATCATGATGGTGCTTTTAATTACACGTAATGTTTTTTAGTGATTTTTAAAAAAAGAATGTATGAAATGGCATGTTTTTGTTACTCTTTATGTGGAATGTGCTGCCTGATAATGCAAGTTTGGCAGGAGTTGTTAGGCATGTCCTTTATTGCTTTGGAAACTGCTTGTGTTGTGGCTACTGAGAGATAAATTGCTGTATTTGTAAGCATATAGCCTACCCCACTATAAAAACATTATTGCTTGAAAGTGTTCACATTTGTTCTAAATTCCATGCAAAATCAGGCACAGGAGCAACTGAGGGAATAACAGTGAATGATATGGCCAGGTTATAAAGGAAGAGAAGGTTTGAACTAAATTCAACCTTCATTATTAGGCACATATGTATAATTTACAGTGATAATACTGCTCAGTATTGAGGACTCTTTCAATTCTGAACTATATTCTCTAATTTTGAATTATTTTCAAAAAGACCTGATGGACTTTGTAACTATTTATGGTGTGTTAAAATCACTTTATCACAGCTATTCTTTACATATTCAGTGTTCTCAGTGTGTTTGATCAGCTGTTCTATGTAATTATGCTGACTAGAAAATTAGAGTTATTGTTCCTCATACAGAGGCACTGTGCTGCCTGCCGAACTACTTGGCAGATTTTTCTGTGGTAGATTTTCTTGAAAAGGAAGATAGATATTCTTAATTAGAAATTAAGGTGAAATATAAACCCCAACTCTGGAGAAGGTGCCCACCTTGTTTAGAACTTCTGACTATTTCTAGCCTTCAGTTTCTAGTTACTGAATGTTATGGATTTTTTTTGGGACAGAATATCCCATTTTGGAATTTTGTTGCCTGTGAATATGGTTTAGAGTTGGAATCAATTTGCACCATAATTTTGTTCTCCTTTTTGCTATCACTTTTAAATGAAGGAGTCACTGAACATATGAAAGCAATAAAAACAAAAGAGATTTATATGAGCCACTCCTTGCTATAATAATTTAATTTGCACTCAAAGGTGCAAAGATGCTAAATTTTACTAACCTGTTAGGAAACAACAGCAGTTACATAAGAAAGTTCTTAATGTGTGAAAGTAAATGAAAAAGTATTACTTTATCAGAATGGATAACTTGCAAGGAATGAAGGACTGGTTGGGTTTCTGCTTTTCTGATTCTGATATTTATGTGTGGCCCTGTGTTTTGAACTACTGTGCAAAATCCTTTGTTACAGGTTCAGATCTTAATTTTCATCCATCTATGGGGATGTGTCCAGAACAGAATCTGAATACATCAGAGATATGATACATTAGTATTTTTGCATTCTGCCTCTTTGAAAGACATGGGTGCAATCTGTGTTTCATAATTAAGAAGGGGATCTGTGCCCTGCTTTCCTTCAGCAGCAACCCTTCAGTCTGTGTTCCAGAGGAGCCTCTCTCTGCCTGTAGTGTTTTTTCAGGCTCTTCAGGATCACAGGCATGTTGCCAGAATGAAGCCCTTCCTGTGCAGTCAGGAGTTGGGAGGTGTTATTTTTCAGCAGGCTAAGTCATCCAAATCACAGTGGAATTACTTCAGGTGATAGAAGTAGGACATTTCCTTTGCTGAAGTGCAGAGCATCACTTGGGGTAGAGGAAATACAGGCATTTCTCAAGAAGGAGGCTGGAATAATTTTCTCTTTGGGAAAACACTGAGCAATGGTGGAAGCAGGCACTGTTGTGTCAGCATCCCTTTACAGACACACAGTTCTCCTGCCACCTATTCCACCTATCCCATTTCCATTGCAGTAGCTGAATTTATATTCTCAGGTCAGTCTCTGCTCACATGGAAATCACCTAACTACTAAAATAAAAATAATTCAGTGTCCAATGTTGATTTTTGACCTTCTTATCCTTTGTTTTCTCAGTTGCTAAAAGCTCACGAGAGTTTGTTTTAATTTCTTTGAGTAAATCCATTTTGGGAATGTAGATACGGGTAAGTAGAATAATAATGGTATTGCTCCACTCTGGTCTGTATGTTGCCAGTAGTATTTGTGCTGAGGCTCTCAAGTTTTCTGTTGACTCTAGGAGAAACAAATGTATTTAGAGGGGTTTTCAGGTTTATTTTTTCAGAAGGATTTTTTTTTATTTCAGAGAATACTACTGTACACTGCAAACACACTTGTAAAAATAGCTTCTCAGAAAATACACAGATATAATATTTTAAACCAGAGAAACCTTCTATTAGATTTTCTTGTTATTATCATTCAGAGGCATCAACTTATGCAACTGGTCTTATGCCAGCTTTATTCAAGATTCTTGTGGCCCTTGTCATGCCACAACACATTTCAATGTTGCTCACTTCAGAGCTGTGTAAGAACTTCACAATCTTACAGGCAGTGTTTTCAGTATTTTTGAAAAGCACTGTGCAACTCTACTTTTTTCATTCAAATAATTACTTGTGTGGAGCTAGTTGCATGGATGACTGCCATACAAAATTTTAACTCTTCACCATGTCTATTGAAAATACAAATTTGTGGATTTGTCTTTCAGATGTTTGAGGGGAGGGGATGGACAGACTGTGTGTGGGCATATAACACAATCCATTGTTAACTGGCATCACAGTTTGTGCTCTATGGACACCAAAGTATTTTTCTGGCATATAAGATTAACATTCTAACAGAATTCACATTCCTGCAGTTAACATTAGAGTGTGCTGTGAGGACAATACTGTTTGAAGACAAAGAGTGAAAGAGTATTAATGTTTCTATATTGTTTCTCCTCTTTTTACACATGTTGGCTTGAAACCCCAGCTTTATATGATAGAACAAGTTGTTTCAGCTTCCTGTAATTTTATCCCTTAGCAAGCAGTCTAAAGCATGATATTTCTGTGAATTTACATCAACAGAAATATCACATGGACTTTGTATCCTCCTGTCTGCATCCCCTGAGCCTCTAGAGCAATGTGATGTACAGTCATGTATTTTCAGCTGTGCTCAAGGCCAAGAGCCTTGAGAAAGATTTTCATCCTGTCTAGTTAAATGTTGCCACTCTGGGGTAAATAATGCTGGAAAAAGTTAACAACAGCTGCACCTTATAACTTGTTGAAATAGAAACCACAGTGTTGCTGTTTTCAGTAAGCCTCTAGTCAAGTGCATTATGTGTATGTCTTCCATGAGAAGCTATCAAAAATTCAGGTTAGTTGAGCAGGCAGATGATAGAGCTTTGTAGCTGACCCAGCTGTCATTTTAAGTTTATTTTGAGTAAGAGGGTAGTCAAAGGTGCACTTTGTGCTGTGTCTTTTTAACTGAGGCTGGGATTCTACTGAATGAGCTTTTGGCAACCCTTTCTGTGATATGAGAAGTGATGAAATGTGTGAACTGGCAACATCAGGAAGCAGCATTGAGTTATGCTCTGTATTAGAAAGAGAAGCTTCTAGTAATGATGTTTGTATTGGGGCACTGCCATTAGTCTAACTCTTGCTTTCATTTCTGCTGGTACAGGAAATCCATCGTCGATTTGAGAACACTCCTGACACAGCCAAGACAAAAGCTCTCCAAACTGTTATTGAGATGAAGGTAAATGATTGTGCATGGACAGCAGTAGAATTTGTTCTCTGGAAAATGGGTTTTAATATGAAAGGTGACTCTACCAAGTACCATATGCTTCTGTCAGTCTTGTCATTTAAAAGAAGTATATTTTTAATAATATTTTGCTATTATTCTTTTATTTGTTATTGTTGATCACTGAAGAGACAGACACAGTAGAAACTCATCTCCTGTCTGCCTGCAGCAACAGATACACATTTCTTCCAGTTAACCAAAAGTTCATTCTATTACAAGAATGGGAGTGGCAGATTAATATGAAAGATTTGTGGGATTTTATAATGTGGGTTCCTTTCTTTCTGTGTTATCAACGTTTGAAGTGCTGCTTTGCATTCTGTGTCTCAACAGAGTTAGCAAACTTGACACCCACTTAATGAATGGGTCATATAGCTAGAAATACATCTGTATGCCATCATAAACCTAACTTTTCTAGATGAATTTGTGATTGAATCCTTAAGCCATTAGCTGAAGTATTTAATGGACTGATGGCAATTGGCCAAGAGCTCAGGAGCCACAATCAAGTGTGTGGTTTACACAGCTTTATGCAATCATATTTCATATTGTATTGCTCATCAAGTACATCAGACAGGGTTTGGACAAACAGAGTTGAAAAAGTGGAAACTGTCTTTGCAAGCTATAATTTTCCATTTTGTATCCCTCCTTTTTTGTTTTATTTTCCTTTCTTTTGTCTCCTGCAACTTTTTCCATTCTGTATCAGTGTTTTCTTTATTTATATCCCATCTTTCTATTCTGAAGCCTTTCATTTGTTGTCATTCTCATTAGTTATCTTTGTGATCCATAGTAATGAAAATTAATTGACCATCTGGTAACATTAAGGGTCTTTACTATCAGAAGAGAAGCACAGGGGCATTTCTGGGAAATGATGTGAGCACTGAAACTAAACACTGTTGTCAGTTTCAACATAACACTTCACCTTACTGCCTCTAGTTTTTTGTTGCAAAAAACTATCAGTTTTTAACTTAAGTATCAAACATTAAGCAGGAGGTCCGATTAGATCTTCATAATGTTGCTTTTAGAAAATCTCATCTCATGAATGAAAGCCTATATATGTAAAAATCAGCTTTTTGTTCAGCTATGCTTTGCTTATCAGACAAAGTAAGAAAGGTTTTGTTTATCAAAGTCTGTAGTATAGTTTCAAATCAGATCTGTCTCTGAAGAAAGACTAAATATTTTGGGGAAATGAAATAAGAAAAAATGGACTGCTTTAGGAGATTATAGTCCCTAAATACATATCCATGATCATGAATATACATGAATCTCTGTGTGCTGTGTGAATCTGTTCTTGCTGTTCCTTTAACAAGAGACTTGTAAAGAAACCAAAAAAAATTAAACCAGGTACACTGAATGAATACCTCTGATTATGCTGTAAAAGTATGAGGATAGTGATTGATTGACTTTTTAATTTTCCTGGGTGGCTTTTTTTTAACCCATTGAAAGGCTTAATACATTGTACATATCAAGCAGAATACTTGACAGACCCTTTTCTGCTTTATCCAATCAAATCTAGATTGTTGTGCATTTTCCTTGCTTATGGTGACTTGCTGTTCCCCATTTGTCACCCCACTTAAATTAACTAGTGGCACAAACCCAATTTTTTGCTGTTCTTGCAGTCACATTTTGCTGTCCATTCAATTAGAATTAGATGTCTGTAGTTTATGCTGGCTTTGAAAAGGCAACTTCATGTTATAAATTGAAAAATGAGTATCTGAGCATTCATATGTAAAGAGTTGAACACTGATTTCTCTAAGAACTTTTTAAATACATTTTAAGGGCAGGTAATTTATTGGACATGTATCTCGTTCTGTTTTACTCCAGCAGTACATTAACAAATAATCTGTGTGTCTTTACCTGTCTCCTCTAATCATTTTCAGGATTCAAAAATTTCTTCCATGGAGCGTGGCCTCCGGGATTTGGAAGAGGAGATTCAGATGTTGAAGTCAAATGGAGCCCTGAGCACAGAGGAACGTGAGGAGGAAATGAAGCAAATGGAGGTGTACCGCAGCCATTCCAAATTCATGAAAAATAAGGTATTGAGAACACTGGCAGCAGCCCTGAGTTAAACTGAGCTTACAGAGGACAGAAATGTTCTTGCTTTAGTTAGGAGGAATGGTCTGGGTTCCCAGTCAAATGTTGGGAAGCAAAATCGATTTAATACCTGCTGTTCAGCCACTAAAATAACTTAAAAATATTTAAGAAAATTTTAAATTGCAATTTGAAAATGTTATGATAGTGTTTCAGCAAGATCAGTGGCCCAAGTTCTCTTTTTATTGTCATGCCTGATTCTCCTCTCTCCTCTCTCCTCCTCTCTCCTCTCTCCTCTCTGCTCTCTTTTTTACACCATTACTAATCCATTATTGGTCCAGGTTTTATTTGGTCTAAAGTCTTTCCAAAGGTAGTTTGTTGAAAGAGGGATGTTTCTTTTTGCAGCTGTTGTTGTCTAACTGTTTGGCCTTGTCATTATATAAAAGCTGAGAAGAGTGTGAACTGTCACAATAATGACTTTCCATTACACTCTCCTTCCAGCAGTGGAGTCAGCATGAGAGTAGAGTCTACAGCAGTGGTGGTGCTGACATGAATTTCTGTTGTTTGGGATACAGGACAGATACAGCAGTGACACATGCTAGTCCTCAGGTGTAAAGACCTGGCTGTTGAACTGTCTCTTCAAAAATTCAAATCCAGAAGTTAATCCATTCTTTGTTTCTCAGTCTTTTAGTGAGTCCTAACATTAAGTGAAGGTTCAGGCCCTCTTGCACAGTAAATTTGAGTATATTGTGAACAGTCCTGGCTGTCTTAATTAGCTTATGTGTATTTCCTGCAAGCAGTATACAAATCCTGGAAGAGAGGTTGAAAATTACTGTACTGGGTGCTGAACAGCTGGAACCCACTGCATTTGTCTTACTTGAAATTATTGGTCTAGAAAAGAATACTGGGTGAAGTGGCTTGGAGAAAGCAGCATTACTTGCCCTGAAGTAGGAACATCTACCAAGTTTGTGTTCCTTCCTCTTGCCTCACACCAGCTCACTGAAACACCTTGGGATAACTACATCTGTTCTTCCATTTGCTCTTTATCCCACGGGGTTGCTTTTAGGAACTGAAGGGTACCCTGTTCAAATTAGGAATGGAGGAGGAGATTAGAGCATCACTTCCTTCCATCTTTTCTTCTTTCTTTTCTTCTTTCATTGTTAGCAACTCTTCAATTTTCCCTTGTCCTCTCCCTCTATGGATCTGTTCAGCTACTTGATCTCTGGACCTCTTCTGTCTCCTGGTCTGCTCACTTATTTTCCTGCAGAACATTTGTTCTTTTTTGCTATCTGTTTGCTCATGACTCATGGCCATCTCCAATCTTGTTCTGTAATTGCACAGCATTTGTTTTTTCAGCATTGTATTGTGTAAGTGATTTGTGGCTGTAGGTTGATAATTAACATTATTTCTCTTATGCTGAAGTATGTCCTTTTTCCTGTCGTAATTTCCTTATGAACTGCAGTTTCAAAACCCTTGGGATAAGTGCCACGTACTTGACATATGTAAACATAACCATAACTATGTATCTTCTGTTTCATAATCAAATTCTTGTCTGGCAGCCTATATGAAATTACACAGACATTAAACTTTTGAGAAGATTTAATGAAGAATGGAAGAGAAGATGAGTGACCACTGTTGATCCTTCTATTCAGTTCTTTGTCACTTTCAGTTATTTGGACTGAAACAGACTGACTAGAAGCTGACAAATAATAAATATTTAAAAGCATAACAATGTCGTGACAGGTAGAGCAACTGAAGGAAGAGCTAAGTGCCAAAGAGGCTCAAGGGGAGGACCTGAAAAAAAGAGTGGCTGGTCTCCAGACCGAGGTCTCTGCAGTAAGATCTCTCTTTTGTGTGCAGTGGCCATTCACTGAGGCTTGCTGGCTCTTCTGGCTTTCTTCTCTTACCTTCTTCATGACTTGATATAACAAGTAGAACTAACAGCCTGCTCGGCCTTGTAGCTGCCTTTTTATTCACATGGTTCTGGTGTCCATAAATAACATCACTCTCCAGATGAACATTTGTATTTGTTTTGTTGCTGTTTTTTAATGGTATGAGCTGTTTGAGCAATAACCTACTCTTCTCTACTGAAGCAGATTTTCAAAAGCATTCAGCACCCATTTTGGGGACAGACTTTCAAAGAGATTTGCTTTTCCTTGTTAAAAAAAACTAATTTGAAAACTTGTGTTGAACATTCTTAAGATTGTTTCACGAAAAATAACAAAATCTGGATGCTGAATGCTTTTGAAACTGATTGCTCGATTTTAGCAGCATGAATTCAGGTTATTCCTTTGCTGTGAAGTCAGAGATTCACTCAAAAGTGTGAACATGGTTTGTCATCAAGAAGAGAGATGTGAGCACCTGATGGTGTCTTTACTTCTCTTGCAAGTGTGGATGGTGTGTGCTGCATTTTTACTAAAGCACTTGGGCACATTGGCAGTGTGGGCTTGCAGCTCTGAAATGGGAGACAGACAGGAATCCCAGGGTGCTGATTGAGAATCTTCATGTAATGAAATGTAGTAAATATCTGTTCAGAGATGAGCCCCAAAAAATCTGTCGTTTTGAGAAAGTTTTACTCTGATTCAGGCTGCCTACTAATTGAAAAAGTTTGTGTCATGTGAGATTTTTTCAGGAGGCTCTTTTTGTTTAGATACTGTAGAAAAGATAACCAGCAGTAAATAATTCAGCTCTTCCCAGCATTGTCCTGTTCCTGGCAGTATTGTGAAACTGGTGGCTGACATCAATAGCTTTGGGGTGAATTGAAATAGATGGCAGAATCACCCTCTGTGCATATTTGCTTTTAGTAAAATATCAAAAAACCCAACCTAGCAGGTTTGAATTAAGTGAAACGCTAGCAATTGAGTAGTTCCATAAATTCTTACATACCTTTTCATTGTTCCATTTAATAAAATGGGTTTGAGAGGTTTTTTTGAAATGCACGTCCTCCTTCTTCCCCATTCCTTCATGTATGGTGTTTCACATTGGAACACAGGAGTCCTTGATTGCATATTTTGATACTATTTTAATACTCTTTGGTAAAGAGTTTTCTTCATTTAATTGCCCATTATTGAAACAATATATTCAACAACAATTGAAACATTATTGTCAATATAAAGCTGCATTTACCCAAGCTTTTTTTCTCAGTTATTTCTACAAGTATGTGCATTTATTCTAATCAAAAACTTTTAAAAAAATTATAAATTATACTATTATTTCATTCATGTGCCTAGTTTCCAAACATGAACAGTGACTTGAACAATTTTTTTATCTTGTGATGCCCTTTAATTTCTGTTTTGAAGCATTTGACAATATACTTTTGGGGCTATTCTGTGAGACAGGAAGCAAACCAGTGTTTGTTGCAAACTTGGACTTAAAACTACATTTAGACTTCCCTGTCATCTCTTATTAATTTTCCTTCTCATACTTAATAAAAACTGTCCTGCGTGATAATTGCACTTAAATTAAGATTTTAGCTGATATCATTGCTTTATTTTCTCTTTTTTTTTACTGTTTGTTTTTTAAAATAATAATCCAACGTACATTTGCTAAAATAAATTTGCATTTCTATACTGCTTTAATTCACTAAATTAAATTTAGGAAATTGCTCTCAACAAAATGCAATTCCACAAACAGTTTTCGTGTTATTTTGATGAATATTTGCATCTGCTTCTAGAACCTTCCACAAACTAAAATGTATTTCATAGAATAAAATGCTGGTTTTGTGAATAGTGGGAAAAGTAAGAGTGACTTTCCATCTTCTCTAAGCATGAGGATTGATAGGTGAGGAGCTGGAGGGCAGCTTGCTGATTTGACATTTCAAAGCAAACATTGTGCTGCTGAGAGACCTGCAGGTGCTCTGATCTTACAGGCTGGGGGTACTTTGTCATTACAGCTGTTTCATCTTCATTAAAACCTTACTCCTGCTACATATGTGGGCTTGGTCAGTCCTTTGGAAGATGAATAAAGACTGCTACTATTCAAAAGAACCTCCCTTGAAAAATTGATGACATTGCTCCCGTCTCTTCTTCCTTGAATCCTTTGCTCATGACACAAATTTTTGCCAGCCTTTCACTCAAGATTACTGAAGGCTTCATAGTTCTGTGGGATAATTCAAGAGTATCACACTGTTTGTTGATGGTTATGTGTGTTTATAGTAATTTTTGCAAGGAGGGTGTAAACTGTGTCTCCCTTTGCCCATCCCTCCTGTGTTTTTCAGATTGGCCAGGTGAAACAGGAGCTGTCACGCAAGGACACCGAGCTGCTGGCCCTGCAGACCAAGCTGGAGACCCTCACCAATCAGTTCTCTGACAGCAAGCAGCACATCGAGGTGCTCAAAGAGTCTCTTACAGCTAAAGAGCAAAGAGCTGCCATCCTGCAGACAGAGGTGAAGTGGGCAATTCTGTCCTTGCTGACTGTGCACATGGAAAGAGACAAAACCCATTATTTCTGCTGCTCTTAGGTTGTACAAGCCCACAGCCTTCCAGTACTGCTTGTTCTGAGCACTTTGTAGCTTTGATTGTGTGTTTGATTGTCTAGGCCAAGGATTGATCTAAAGACAAATATGTGTGCATAAGTGCTTGGCTGAATTAGAAATCTGGGGGGATTTATTTGCAGTGACCTTGTAGCTAGAGGAGAGGAAAAAGGAAAATGATTCCAATAGCAAACACTCTGCAGAGGCTTCACCATTACTGTCAGCATGTCCAAGAACTCTTGCTTGTAAGCCTAAAATATGGACTTTGATGCTTTATGATGCATATTCCAAGATAAAGGAAAAATATTTTCTAAATTGTTTTTCGATGACAAGTGCATAATAAGTTCCCGTATTATGTAAGACCCAGGTGTATATCTGAACATCAAACAGATAATAAATGTAGCATAAATGTGTTGCTTCTGGACATTGTTGAAGAGCAAGCATGTAATGTCCCTGGCTTGGAAAACTGTAATGTTAGTGGAAGTCCAAAAGATGGCAGTGATGCATCAAAAACTTTGTTGTTACAGCTGAAAGAGTCAAAGCCAAAGGAGCTGTGAGAAAGGCATGCAGGAAATTTGTGGGTGACGCTGGTAGAAGGTTCCTTATTACAAGAGCATAAGAAAATGGATCTGAACTTTTTATCCTAATTTAGCTTTCCCTTAGCCAAAATTGGTAAATCTGTAGGTGCTCATGGCCTTGTGGACATGCAGGAATGAAATTACATAGTAAATATCTTTTGATGTTCCAGGATGGCTTTTCTGGTTATTCTCAGATTTATGTAGAAGTTGAGATTGCATTAGTGGGTATAACTGGGAAGGTGTTCCAATTTACAATCATAAAAGCCCTGTTAAAATGGTTCATTCCTTTTTGCTAGTTCGGGAATGTACTCTAGATTAGTACATGTCTATTTAAAAGAAATATTTAAATTTCAAAATATTGAAAGTAGGTGTTAGGTAAATAAGCATTTTCAAAGGTAAAATGCAGACTTTGATTCATTGCAGTGATTGAAAAGAATATAGATATGTTAAATGTGCAGTACTGTGACAAACCTACAAAACTTCTCACTTTTAAGTAATAAATAGTAGTACTTTTCTACCCATGAGAGACGAAGTTCTTGAACAAATTTACTTTACTAACAAGCTAGAAGACTTCACTAGAGGGTCATAATTTCATCTCTTATTCAAGTAAAATATCCAGAATTGAAACAGAGTATTTAAAACAAAGAAGACTTGGTTATATACCATTGGTAGATACTGTTGACAGTTATTCAGAACATCTTGATTTTATTTTACCTAAAGGCCAAAGTACTTTACAAAATTATTCTGCTCTCTGACTTGTAATATTACTAAATAACCATTGAGAATGTGTTCTTCATTGGCTGCTTCCAAATGAAGTTCTCATGTAGCGCCACAAAACCAAACTGGATTCCTCCTTCCAAGAAGACACTGACACTTTTTGAAGGATAATCTCATCTTTTTGACCTTTGTTGGAGTTCTTGTCAGAAAGCTCAACAATTAAATTATTACCCAGTTACCTTTATTCTGTGTTCACAGGTAATCCTCTTAAGTATAGGATTGAAACATGCTGAAAACATGCAGTGTTGAGATGTTTGTCCTTGCATCCTGGGATGATTTGGCTTTTTTAAAGGAAAGGATATCTTTCCCATACAAGGGTTTTCTTTAGGAATGAGGTGGGAATGTGAGTCCTGCTTGGCCTCACTTCTTGGCAGCACTGGTCATGGTTAAAACACAATTAGCTTCTCTCAAGACACCTGGAGAGAGTTGTGAGGAGGAAGAGAGCTGCAGTTTCTGACACACATTGTCAGACATCTTCATAGGGGATCAGTTTTTAAAAGTAATATTTAAATAAACATTTTTAAAAAAAAGAGAATACTTCCATAAGCTTCTACCTCTTATTTAGGCTTCTGTTAAAGACCCTGCTCACAGATGGGAAAAGTGTTGATACAATATCTCAAAAATGGATTTGCCACCTGCCACACTGGAACTACAAACAGCAGTGAGCTGTTTGTGGGGTGTTTATCTTGAGGGCTATTGGGTGGAGAGGATACTGTGGTTAGCTTTTTAATTGGTTTAGAAAACTTTAAAAATAGCTCTCAAATTGTACAGTCACTTCGTAAACAAAACAAAAAATAAGTCAGTGTTTATGTTGGAATTAAGGCTTTATCCATATAAAGTTTTCACCCAGTGGGCCCTCCAGCTTAGGTCAGTGCCAGAAGTTATGTGGCTTCAGTGGGAAGTTGCTTTAACCAACAAGAATGTTCTTTATTTTTGTATACTGCCCAAGCTGGCATGGTTCTGTAATTGGTCTGTTCCTATGGTAAATTCAGATTAATATTCAGTAGAAAAATGAATCTAATCATGTGGAAGTTTTTATTTGCTTTCAATGTGTCATTAGAACATAACTTTTTCTAAGGATCTTTTTTTTATTGGGGCTTACACTGGCATTTTGAAACTGCAGTAGATTCTGCCAAATCAGAGACAGAGAATGGAATACATTTAGTGAGGAATGTTCAGATGGGAAATGGGTGTTTCTCACAAGACTTATCAGCACCAGCTACCCCAGCACCCAGTGCTGACACCTGCAAATAGAGGTGAGCTCACAGAACTGACTTCTCTGTGTTCAGGTGCTTCATGTCTTGTGTTAGAGCTTGAGGAAGAAGAGCTGAACTAACTTCTGACCTGAGCAGGCCCTGGGAGCAGCACATCTGTCCTGCACTGGTTTGTAACCCTGGCAGGAGCCAAACGTGCTCTGCACAATGCCAGGCATGTGCACCTCTGCTCCATTGTGTAATCTGAGTTGTCTGGACAGCTGGGAGCTAAATGTTCATGGAGAATTCACTCTCATCTACAAACGCTGGATATTGCTGCAATTGGTATGAGGAGGTGAAGAGTCAACTCTGATCTAGTTAAAAAGAAAGATCAATGTCAAAAATAGAGAATTAAATTAAGTCTTGTGAACTGCCACTGCATTCGAATCAGTCAATAAACATAGCTTTAAAGTCTTAATTACAGACTATGCTATCAGTAAAAAGGCCTAATTCTTTTTTTTTTATATATGTTTGCCAGTTAGTAATGGAATGTCATGAAAGTGATCCTTTTTAAAAATGTATTCATACTTGGAGACTTCACCTAACAATAGCTACAGTAGGTAAAAGCAACTCTCACCTCACATTCTAATTTTAATTTCATGTCTCTGTGCACTTTGAATTCTGAATGCTGACATAGAATTACTTCAACATCTGCTTTAAAAAGTGACTGGCTTCTGTTAGAAACCTGTGCAGACTCTGAAGACACATTTCAGGATTGGTATTCCATCTGTTCCTTCTGCTGCCTCTTCTGTAGTCATACCCACAGAGAATTAAACTTGAGAATTTTGCTGTTATAGAGCAGTTGGGGCTTGGATATAGCATAGGGGAGGTTTTACCTTCTGATACCACTGAGTGAAGCTTGGTTTGGTTCAGTGATCTAAATTATGGTTCAGCCATGGTTTGAACAGGTGTTCAGGTAGATGTGAAGAATCACTCAGGAAAAGAGTAGTATGCTGTTTTTTGTGGGCATCACTGACATCTTCTTCAGCCCAAGTGGGAATCATCAGGGTTGGAATAACCTACTTGCTACTGTACAGTGGAGATGATGATAAAATTCAGAAAGATACCCTTGTTTTCAATCTCAGTTCTATTAACACAAGCTCCTGAAACTCAGGAGCACAGTGAGAAACACAGTGAGGTCTTAAACTCACTGTGGACTTCTGAAAATTTAAATTATTTCCCTATAGTTTGGGAATATTCAGAAAGCTAAGACTGTCATTACAGAATTCAAGATGTTTGCCTGATCGTTTCCATGTACTGAGAAAATCCTAAGATGACTCTGTTGAAGTTGGCATCACCTGACTCCCACAGACCTCAATTCTTGTCACTGTGGGAGGATGCCATGCATAAACTGAGCTGACATGAATAAACAAGTGCAGTGTTCTGCCAGGAATAGTGCTAAGGTGATGATTGTGTGTCCTGCCAGCCTTTGAAAATACTTTTGAAAGTGTTTTCTTTGGTTTCCTAGGCAAGGACCTCACACAAATAAAACCAGGAATGTAATTTACCCCAAACCATAAGCTAATATAGAGTTCAAAGAGAATAATCAATCAGAAAATGGAAAGCATTCTGTGGATAAATTTCTATTTGCAGATGTTCTCTTTTCACTTAACACTGTGCTGTAGGCACCTGGACTGTCTCAAATATTTTGCAACACAACTGTTGAGAGTATGTGGATTTTCTTGTGAGGGAGATTTTCAGTTTCCCTTCAAGAATTAATAAAAGTGACTCTTAGTTTTAATATCAAAGATTCCCAGGGAAGAACATACCTAATCAATCTATAGAACTGTATGTTTAAAAAAAGAAGACAAAGCGTGATCCACCTGCTAAACCTTTCATCACAAACACTATCCATCCTATAAATCATATTTGGGTAAGACCTGGTACTCTAATATCCCTGCAGATCACACTCCTTGCCCCACTTGTTGGGTGAGAGGTCAGGAATGTGGTTTTAATAATGTATGTGTAAGTGAGAAGGCTCCAGACACAGAGGTGGCAGCGGGATTGCAGCACTGATGGGGAGAGCAGGGCAGCTCTTTTCGACACTGGCAAGTGCTTACTGCTCTGTGTGAAAAGAAAGCAGACAAAACACCAGAGAGTTTTGTGAGTGGAACAGTGGAAATGCAGGGCCTCAGAGACAGCTTTTCCATTAGTAACTCAAAATAAAATAGAATAACATGTTAAAACTAAACGTTGCTCAGAATACCATAAGCAGAGTAAATTCCTAAATTCTTACCCCAGCTGGGGTTGTTGAGCCGTTTTCATCCTTTCACTTCGTGTCTCTGCCAGCCTGTGCTGTGCAGAAGGACCAAGAAATTCATTGATCAGCCTGTTTACTCTGTGTGACTGATGTCCTGTAATGGATTCAGCTAACGGGAACCAAATCTGATAGTGTCAAATAAGATTAGCAGCCAGGCTGGCAGATTTGAGCTCTGTCTGAATGCTGAGTGGATAGGGGTCAGTGGGTTTCTTTTGGTATCGTGAGCAGGTTGGTGGTGTTGGATTTCGTATTCCACAATAGTCTTTGAGATTAGTCTGTGCTCTGTGGTGACCTTACTCTTGTCATCAAGTTTATATTCAGGTAGCTCTGATTCCTTCTTCCATTTCCTTTGTCTTGTGAGCTCTGTTTCACATATGGAAGAGAAATGCAGAAGGAAAAGCAAAAGATGCTCAACATGCAGTTTTGAAGTTTGAGGTCAACACAGAGTTCCTAGAGTGTATTTCTAAATTCACTCAAGCCATGGGAGCTCTAAGTGTGTTTGTGTGTCCAAATTGCACCCACAATATCCTGTGCTGTGTCATTTGTTCAATTTTACCTTTAATATAACACTACATGCTGTGGAAAACATGTTATATTTAAACTATTGCTTTGCTTTTTAAGCCAAAATATTCTTAGCCATCCTAAGGTAACCTCTTTCCAGTTGTGATCTACAGTGGCTGCAAAGAGTTCTCCTTTCATTACCTTCAGGCTCAGCTACTTCTGTGATTCAAACCTAGAATATAAAGTGACTGTCTGGTACAACGAGTCAATGTTTATTCTCTAATTATTAGTAATGTTTCAAATAAAGGGATCTGTTTTCCTTGCATGTGAGGCTACTTCTCCACCACATATTGTATTGACTTCTATTTTGAGGAAAAAAAAAATTCAATATTGTGTGTGATACAAGCCTGAGTTGTATGTGAGAAGTATGATTTGAGGTTTTCCAAGAAAGGAGCATTTTTCTCATATAGTTGGGAATAACACAATTTATTATTTTTGCTATTTAGTCTCCTGTCACTTATGACAACTGTTCTAGCCTCATCTTATATTTGTTGAATTCTTAAAGAAAGAGGATTTAGATTTCTGAATCTATTTCCCCTTTATTTCCCCAGTGGAAGTGTAGTTTTAGTTGCCTGAGGTTTCTCTCCTTCAGTGCTGAGCAAAGCTTGTTCTGCATGTGTGAATTCAGGTGGACGCGCTGCGGTTACGTCTGGAAGAGAAGGAGACGATGCTGAACAAGAAGACAAAGCAGATCCAGGAGATGGCAGAGGAGAAGGGCACTCAAGCAGGAGAGATCCACGACCTCAAGGACATGCTGGAGGTGAAGGAACGCAAAGTGAATGTTCTTCAGAAGAAGGTAAGGTTGGAGAGCTCCAAGTCAGAGGAACACCTCTGATACATCTCTGCTTCCAGGACTGTCAGAAAGCCTGAACTGGGATGTACATTCTGGAGATTAATGTTCGAGTCCATTGATGTAGTAGGAATATGACGAAGGGTGAATTTCAGTTTGAATTTTTGACAGAAAAAAATAGAATTCGAAACAGAGGTTGTTGCCTGTCAGTGATTGCATGTGCTGCTTCTGCTTCCATTTTAATATTACCAGTGGCTGAGGCATTTTTATAAGGGTACATCATCTGAAAAATCAATCATTTCCCACCCAGCACCTCACCAAAGCCAGGCTGATTTGGAGCACAGGGCACTGGCTGATCATGACATATGTGACTGAATGAATGGGGGGTTGTAGTAAATGCAATTAGGATGATTTCTCTGTAACCTACTTGGAAAGTTTGTGAAGAACTTTGTGTAACTTTTTAGAAATTCTATATTATCATACTTAATATTTCTTGGGAAGTGCTAGAATAGGATAATCAGACTATCCTTCATATCTTTTTGGATAAGAAAATGTAGGCTTATCAATGAACTGGAGGAGGTCTGGGTAAAAAAACATGTAGACTATGTCAGACAAATTGGAGAAGTTTCCCAAAGGGCATTGAGTCCTAGGGCAATGGATGTCATTATGGATGATTGTTGGCAAATTGCACACACAATATATCCCAATTTTCCTCTGCACAGGGTGAAAAGAACCAAATACATGTACTGCAAGAAATTTTAACTTGAAGTACATTTTTACTCTATCTCTGTGGAGAAGCTGTTCTTGGAGCTCTTACTCAGTGTATTAGGCTGAGGATGTGGGGTTTTTTGTTCTGTTTTTTCCCTAGACCTTTAAACATTTCTACAGAATTCTTGTGATATTAATAGTTCAGAATATTGATTAATATCTGACACCTGGCCAATGCCTTTTCTTCTTGTCTGTAACTGTAAATCATGAGGGTTTAGGTCATGTTCAGCTCTGTTACAGCAAACATCATGTGGGAATGGAAGTTCAGGCATGGACTTCAGCCATAAATAAGTCATTAATAATTCCAGAGCAGAAGCCCTAATTCTCAGTCTTCACGGTCTCATTTTTTTGACCGTTCTTCTTCTTAGAAACACAGATTCCTAATTTTTGTGCTGTGTTTCTTTTTGTTTTATAAAATTGGTCATGCACTCTCCAGACACAGATTGAGATCCCAGCTGAATGTTTAACCAAGAAGTGGGGAGTCTGACATTTGTGTAAACGTTAAATGTCACTGAGGTTGTTTTATTTCCATTCACTCTTACGCTGCTTTCTCACACGTTCTTGCTCTACTTGACACTTGAGAATGATCTTTCATGAGATCATTTATAAACAGCTCTAAAAGTTCTTTTTTTTAATACTTGTTTTTTTGACACCACTGTAATCCATCTTGAGACAGTTTCATCTTGTGTCTTTGTGCATCTGACCTGTTTTTTCAGAGCTGTTCCCTGCTGCTTTCAAGTAAAAGTACCTGGTCTCTCCAGGTTGGAAAAAAAGGACCCAAGCCTTTAGGTCTTTTAGGGTTTAGGTGAAAGATTTGAGGTCCTGTTTGCCTGGATGGCTCCACTGAGGATAAGACTGCCATAATAAACTGCAATTTGTGGTGTTCTCTAGACCTGTCTCTGAGCTTCTTCAACAAGAACAAAACAAAAAACAAACAAAAAAACCCCCCAAAAAGCACCAAACAAAACAAAACAAACAAACAAAAAAACCCCAACAAAACAACAAAAAAACCCCAACAAAACAACAAAAAAACCCAAACAAACCTCCCCCCCAAAAACAAAAAACACACAAAACGCAACAAACCAAAAAAAAAACCAAAAAACCAAAACCAAAAAAACCCCCACCAAAACAAAGCACCATAAAATGCTTTGGGCTGAGAGGGACTTTAAAGCTCATCCAGTTCCAGTACCCCCTGCCATGGGCAGGACACCTTCCATTAGGCCAGGGTGCTCCAACCAGGCATTGAAGGCTTCCAGGGATGGAGCATCCACAGCTTCTCTGGGCAGCCTGTTCTCTATAAAAAACATAGAACCTATATGTATAAAAATATATATTTCCTGCTGCTAGCTAGAATCACATGCAGAGAGTTGAATTTGCTTTAGCCTTGAAGTTGCTGGAGGCATTTTCTTTAACATGAACAGTTAAATAGTGAGAGTTGTAAATTCAAAGATTTTTTTCCTCCTGTTTCTGTAACTAGCTAACCTAGAATATTCTTGTAGAGAATCCAGGTGACAATTATTTTATCTGAGGTTTGTGGTACAACATGTAATTCTTTTGGTTTTTTTGTATAGCCTGGGGTAAATAAGTGGAAGTTCAGCCTTTAAAGTTCAAGGATTGATGTCTTTAACTGACATTTTTAATTACTTGTCCAGACCTGGAATTGAAGACTAGATGTGAGATTTTCTATAGATAGGGCTTTGCATTTTCTTGTTCTCTTTAACATTTTTCCACAGAAAAGCAGAGCTTGAGAAAATACCTAAGGAAGGACTTGTCTGATTTTTTAATATGTATTATTTTGGAAGTTATGAGAACTTGAATAAAATCTGTTTCAGGTGCAAAGGAAAAGTTATGAAGTCTCATTTTTATCTGGTATATATGGCTGTCCTTTTATGACTGCATAAATAGCTGTTTCTGCCCTCTGCCTGCAAAGTCAGAAGCCTGTAACTCCTCTCATATAAATATTTTTCTCTTAATCCTTATAAACTGTGATTTATTTTTTCTGGTTTTGCATTTCTAGAATGCATCTTATTAAAGTGCACATCTTGTTTTCTGCTTTATCCAAGTGCTGTCTTTCAGACCTTCCAGGACAGTTCAGAATTCTATTGCCATTTAAAAAAAAGAAAAAGGCAGTCTTTAAACTTTTACCTCCATGCACAATAGTGTTTTTATTCCTCCCTCTGATTACAAACTGATATGTTCAGACAGGTTGGGTTTTAGTCTTATGTTCTAGTTGAAGATCTGAAGATCCAGTTTAAAGTATCTTCAGAGGTCATAGATAATATAGGTAATAGTTTGGGTTTTTCTTTTGCTGGCTTAGTTATCTGATAGTAAATGTTTGTTTTAAGTTTAAATGGTATTCAGACATTTTAATTGAATAGAGTGGAAGATCATGAAAGGCACATGGTACAAAAAGTGCTTTTCTTGTATAGAGTTAATTAGTATTTTTCTATGGAAATAATATGTGTTTGGAAGCAGCAGTTATGAGAAGGTACAGAGTAAAGATGTAGTGGGTTGAAGGAATTTGAACAAATTAAGAATTGGATTAGTAGATACTATTCAACCAGTTTTCACCAAATACTCTTCCCTCAGCAGATACTCAGATATTTTTGAAGTGGGATGTTTTTGAAGTTAGATTCTAACCAACTAAATTTTGTACACTAATATTTTTTAATCCTAGGTGCAAAGAAAATTTGGAGCTAAAGCTAAAGTGATAAAGATCTGAAAATAACAGAATTTATTAAAAATTAATTATTTGCATAACTTGGCCATATAAGAAGAGTTGGTTACTTCTTTTGAAATTTAGAGATTGCCTGTACTAGAATGTAGCCATAGTTGAATGGGTATTTGGACCTCGTGATTTTTTTTATTTTCTGTGACTGTTTTAGATGTGCAATCGCCTGGTTACACTGGCAAGGAATTGTTTGGCATGGTGCCCAAAACTGTGCTATCCTAAATTGCTGCTGTTGAAACAAAAAAATATTTAAAATGCACCCTTTATTTTAGGGTCTCTGTTTGGATTTATTAACACAGAGCACCTCATTTTGTTTGTTTTGGTTTGTTTTGTGAACCATTATTTCTGTTGTATTGGTTAAAGCTGGTGAACTATAAAATATACTTTTTAGCCATCCAAAAGTCAAGGTTTACTTGCTTTACTGGCTGATTAGAGATTATGAACAACAAAGATCTGAAAAATTAACATGACAATTGGCATCATCACTGATACCCAGTAGGCACCAAAATACATTTTCCAGGTTGCTGAGGAAACCACATGCTTCATATTTTAAATCCTGGAGTCTTTCCAGTTCTAAGCTCATACAGCAATGTTGCTTGGTAGTACCTTTATTTTAGACAATGGAAGTAGGGCATATGCTAGAAATTTGGAGACTTTGGCTTTGTGTCTGAAAATTTAATGCAAAAACTTCATTTTATAGAGCTTCAGGATTATTTTTTTCTCATTTCATTGAAAATGGATCTTGCATAAAATTTCATTTTAAGTTGCTGGAAGTCAAAGCCAAGGGTTTGCATCTTTGAAAATACAATAGGGTCCATGCTGGGAAAATTTGAAATCTGAACCTGAAAAACATTAAATGGTGCTTCATTACTCTTTTTGCTACATCTGTCTATCTGTGCTGGTAGACAAGGAAGAAAAGAGAAAAGAAAAATCAATATTTTGCAATGAAAGCATTTTAATGAAATAGCATTTTTTTGGACAAAAGATAAGCAATGGTACACTGAAAGAAAAAACAAAATAAAACGGGGAATCAGTCACCTCTTGCTTTGGGGGCAGGTCATGTTTTGTCTTGGGGAGAAGGGTTAACACTCCCTTCTTTGTGCAATGCAGCTGCAGGCAAATAAAATGCAAGTTTTAGTGTCTGAACATAGCAGTGTTTTTGGCAGCTCCCCATGCTCTGTGTAATAATTGACCTGTGATAAAGGAAGGACAGAGATTTATTTTTTACCTTGGTGGCTGTGCTGACTTATTTAGCTAGAATTTGGGAAGGTTTCAAATGCTCCTGCACTTTTGAATAAGAAGCATTGCCTTTCTCCACAGGAAATCAATGTCCTCTGCTTTCCAGAAAATTTTGAAATCAGAATAAATATCTTATGCTTAATGATTAGAAATACTGTGTGGCAGGAAAGAGGGGCTGCAAACAAAATGTGTAACTGAGTTGTTTAAAATCAGTGGTGCTCGTAGTTACTACAACAGCACTCTTGGTTTAGTATTTCTAACTTTGAAGTGCAGTGTTTGTACTTTAAAGTTTATTTTCTTCTCTCTTCTCTGAAGTAGGTTTACCTACTCAGACAGCTCCTGTGCCACAACCCTGAGGAGATGAGAGAGCTCAGAGAAGAAACTGCATTTTCAAAGGTCTAATTCAGTTTATGGTCGTTTCATCCAAGGTGTGACCTTGAACTTACCTACAAATGAATGTATGGTTTTCTAAGAATTCATAAAATGCAGGCTGAACTTTGAGACATGCCTTTGAGCATCTCTAGGATGGCATCTAGTGCTTGAAAGTCCCAATGTGTCACACACTGTGACACACTGGTCAGTGTCCACACTGACCAATGGCTTGGTCATACTTGCAGGGTGTTCAGGTCTCTCCTGTGTGAACTGGACAGTGAAGAATAACTCAGCAGCAAAGGGCCAAGACTGGCCCAGCAAAGATGGTCTGGACATTCATTTACAAAGTGGGTGTGCATGTGCCTTCCTGTGTTCAGACCAGATGATTTTTTGCCTCTGTAATGTTCCTGTGGGCAGGTTCATCTCTGCTTTTAATGTGTTTGTATTTGAATCAGGGACATTTAAAGAGGAGCACCTGAGTACA